GAGATATCGCCTACACTGAGGTGTCCCGCTACCTTACCATCGCGGACCCCGGCTCAAACAGCCCCTTTGGAAGCGCCTCGCCAAACACCCTGGCCTCACCCCTCCCAAATTCAGTGCCTCAATTTCGCCTCACCATGTACTGCATCCATACCATTGGCCTTCCAATGATTTCTTGTCTACGCTCTCTTGCATATACACGTCCGACTGCCACCAAGTCCGAGGTCGAGCACATGCTTCAGATGGGCGTCATCAGTTGGTCTGAAGGCCATTGGGCCCCGTCTCTTCGTATGGTTCCCAAGGCTGCCACTAATGACTGGGGTCCCTGCGGTGGCAATGGAGCCTTAAACAACGTCACTATACCGGACCGCTACAATGTCCCACATCTCCAAAATTTCGTGGCGCCTTGGTTGGCAAGTCCGTCTTTTCCAAAATCAGCCCTGTCCGGACATTTCACAGGACCCATATCCCTCCGGAGAACGTTTGGAAGACGGTTGTCACCATTCCCTTCGACACCATTGAGTTTCCGCTCATGCCATTTGGGTTGTACAACGCCCCCACACTTTCCAGATGTTCGTAGACAGATTGCTCCGTGGTCTATTCGTTGTCTACGCTTTTATTGACGACCTCTTGTTAGCCAACTCCACTGTCGAAGAACATATGGATAATTTCGCAACAGTGTTTGATCGACTTCAACAATTTGGCTTTGTTTTTCACCCATCCAAGTGTATCTCCAGTATTCTTTCCGCCGAGTTTCTCGGACACCCGGTCAATGCACGATAATCAGTACTACAACCGCACTTAAGTAATGATTCGTAATGGAAATGGCATTCCAGAACTTCGGTTAACATTTCATGAAATTGGTCACTGACTCTAGGCTCTTTCGGGCGCTCCGACAACTTGTCCGAGGATCAACGCCATTCCAAGGGAACACAGTGTTATCTCGTGCGAATTGTCTATAAGGCAGTTGACCTGTGCTGCAATTACCTAGCACTTACAACCGCCTTGCAGTCTCAGGGCAAGGCCAAGAAACCAAAGATGGGCATGGGTGCGGTGAGCGACAAAGTTAAATAGTCCGTTTACACGTGCTCCACATGACCTGGTCCCTACATCCACGTACATCAGGCCTCGTTGGGAGGGGGGAGGTGAGTTGGATCTCACGTGACTGAGAGTCCCATACGGGAGCTACTGCAGCTTGGCCCTCAACTTTAAGTAGGACCCAGATATCTCGTTACTTGACAACCTCCGAAGCCACGACATCCAGCGAGTCGCGGTAGGTTCAGAACGTGTTTAGATGGCAAAGGAAGCGAAGAGTCCCAGGAAGCAGTATCGAAGCAGCGATCGTGCCTCCTTCTTCACGTGTTTAGTCGCTTATGATAAGGAACCGCAGCCTTGGTTCCGAGCTCAATCAAACTTATCCCCTCCTCGCCGTTTTCGAATTCAGTCGACTGGAGATAAAGATCGATGTTGACGTGGCGTGTAGTTATTGCATTTTACGCATGGGTTCTGATGCCTATTCCAAAAGATGATCGAGTTGTCCTGTCAGTTGACAACTTTCCATGTCGTCATAGTTAGAATGCACCGGATGTACCATAGCGAGGAAGGCTTGCATTGTCAAAAGACAAGGCGTCCCAGTATTGGCTTCACCTACAAGCACACCGCAACCTGGCTAACGCGAGCCCGACATACCGGCAGACATCCGGCCCTCTTCGATCGCACGCTGCTGACGGAGTCGATGCCAAGGGGTCCCGCCAGAGTGAAATTATTCTGCGGGCGCTTTTTTTCTACTCCTAAGCGGAGAATGACCCTGACACAGCTCGTCTTAGCCGCCACCAGGGTGCACATGCAGGCCAAGTGTGACCGCAACAAGGCGTGCGCCCATGATTGGCATCCCTATGGGAACAATATACAAACGCCGGTGACACGGGAAAGAAATATCAGTTAAAACGCCAAGTTGGTAAGCATCCGCCGGCGTCGACATTATTCGCAGCTGTAACGGTGGATTAATCCCCGGCCGGTTTATACCAGGCTTTTAACAGCTTTAGCGCCACCACTCAATCTGTGTTTCTCCGCACCTACGGCACGTCGTGTAGACCACCGGCACTCGGATGAACTAAACTGATAAGTGGACTGGGCATCCTGTCGAGTGAGGTCCACAGAATCCGCGTTGATACAACAACGAGACCACATGGAGTGATTTGCCGATTGTTAAGTGGAGCTTCAGAACAGGAAAACTTAAGTTACTGAGTTACCGGGGCGACGAGTTTTCGCGAGTAACCTGCAGTGAGGATTCCAAACATCGATTACCATGAAGATGCGATCCTCAGATAGTATTTCAGAAGAGAAGGGAACACTCGCCTAGAGTGATGCGTGTCACCTGAAGCTTTAAGCAGTGAGACCGATTATCCGTCTATAGGGGCTGCGGCGTCCTCTGCGCACTGTTTTTTTAAGGCGTATCACGTCCTGTCTCATGCCTACTTTACTAATACTGGGCTGTAGAGCGACTCGTGCCCGTTAAGGTTCTCGAGGTTGTCGCGGGTCGCCCTCCAACCCCCGTCCACCGCATAACCCCTTTTCCCTGTTCTGCCCGCGACTATAGTCAACGGGTCAGACTATGGTGTGTACTGACTGCCTTCGGTCTGATAATAATGAAGAAAAGTGTAGGTGGTGAGAGCGTAACTACGTCGGAGAAACTAACCAACAAGGGTAGGAGAATAGAAATGAACATTAACTGGCGGTACACAGAATAAATCCCCGTTCATAGGTGGTGACCCATGCCACGCAATAGTCCACAAGTCAGACACTCTGAACTGCACATCTGATCTGAAGTTAATATCCAGCCCCAGGCCGAGTGACGTCAATTATGCCGAGGATCATGAATGTCTGCTAGCAACGAACCCCGACCTGCGAAGCGATGAGTTATCCCAATTCAATGGTCTGCAAATTAATGTCTCGGATACCACCACCACCAGATTGCATATGAAGCGAGAACAGTATGTTTCTGTATCCCTGTTGCCTTATGTACCTTTGAGGCAGTTTGCATCCGGAGGGGCGAAACAGTAGTTCGCCGGCAGAATTATGCGACCAACTTAGTCTTAGGGGCCCTCCTAAGCCATTGTGAAGTCAGCATGGCCATCAGAGCTCTGTATACGGGGCTGAGGACAAAAATGTACTTTCTCTACCATCGCGCCTCAGATACATGTTAGGTGGGAGGTATCATCGGCACTTGCAGCAACGATATTTGTTCACACCGTGGGAACCCAGGCAATATCTCCCAAGAACATGTAAAATGGTATGGACGGAATCCGCAACCGTTAATGCATGTAGCCTTTTCTTGGAGTGGAAGCTTCGCTAGCATAACTGACGACCGCAGATGCCACTTGATTAATTTTTCGAGACTCCACTGTTGACAGTGCCTGGTTGCCTGGCTGACGTACGTCGCTGACTGACAGTAAACCCGCAGAGTTTGCCTGCTCCTCAGACTCAGCGGAAGCTAGCTTCCACGACGGAGAATTAGGATGCACCTCGAGGTGACCACTCGGCCAGTTCGCACACATAAACCGTGGCGCGAACGGTGAAAAGCCTGTTAGCTTCGGTGTGCCGAACTGTTTAGAACACCCACTCCGGCACCCCTGGGGAAAATCATGCTGAGCATAAATAGCGGCTACTGAAAACCAGGTCGACCACACACTTGTCCGAACACGTTGGGCTAACTCGATCCAGGATCTCCGCGAGATACGAGGACTCTACACCGACAGTAAGAGTGGCTTCGGATTAGAACTTGCGAGTGTTCGGCGATGGTTCGTACCGTGTGGTCTCAAGGACACGACCTGCGAAGACTTATAGTGTTGGACGCCTCAATAATTTTTTCCACTGTCCCAGGCCTCAGTTTGACTGCTTAAACCGTTCAACTAAGCTGACACAGACAACGATCGCCTCTGAAAGGTCTTCAGTGGAAACCAACTTAACCAGGGGCAGCAATCCACAGCAAGCGTCGTCGTCGCAAGAACCGGATACCTGATGAAGAAATGCGACTGCGACGACCGTGGGGAATTTCGAGAGCTGGGAAGCGCTTCGACTAATTGTAATGTCAAGGAACGGTGGCGGGTTTAGCGGATGCCGCGGTCCAATAATTCGTCCGCATCAGAAACCAGGGAAAACTGAAGTGCAGCGGCGGCGCCCACGTCAATCCAGTGAAAATGATCTATGCCCAGCTTCCTAATCTTGTGAGCCTAGTCCCATTAACCGACACCCAGCCTGACGATACTCAGGCACCAAAGTACGACTGCAAAAAACGTGGAATTCAACATTCAGACTTGGTAACTCGTAATATCCTCACTGACAGATACCCTTTTTCCCAAAGTCGGATAACAGAGTCGGAGAACACTTAGTCCGACCGGGACAGCCTATAGAAGCCTTCGTAGAAAAACAACACATTCCTCCTGCAAAGGTTTAAAGCTGCCTGCTGTTTGATTTACGTCAACATTTGGCGTTAACAGTATGATATAACGAAGTGGACTTCGTTATCGATTCACCAGGTCAGTTCGCTTTGCCCGTACTCAATTAAAAAAAACAGTCATCGACCTCATATTCACACTTGTCGTCTTGCGGTTCCCAAAGAAATGGCGTCCCATTATGAAAAGGTAACGACTTTCACTGGTAAAAACTATTTAAACAGTCGGTTTTTGGTATTCGTGGATTTTTGGCACGGAAATGCACCGATTCCAGGACGCACTTTCTCAAACCAATACGAAGGTCGGATTCGCTCCGACCTCGGATTAGCACCTGGAGTACTTTAACAATATTTCGATATGAGTAAATAACTAGGGTTCCGAACTTAAACCTTTTAACGAGGAAGGGAACGGTTAGACTACAATTGAGTAAGATGGAAAGCGTAAGGTGGTTTTGACTGTTAGAAGAGTCTTGTAGGATGAATAGTTAAATTCAAAAATAAAGAGCAGCAGACGGCTGAAATACATATTTACAAGTACTTTGATTACAAGCTACACGACAATGCGATAGGTTATATAGCGTCCGGCTGTCTCGGAAGGCCGATTTATCCGTACAACTTGTCCCCGGCGGAGTCCGTAATACCGAGAAACCGGATCACTGACTTGCATTTTCGGTAACTGACTTTCTTTCAAACGACTATGTTTCCATGAGAGTGGGAGTAGGTGCAAGACTTACTATCTATCAAGCAACTCCTTCTTTTCCTCCTGAGTAAGTACGACGTGTTGAGGCACCAATTCATGCTCCGTAATGTTAACCATTAATTCGTTTTCGAAGAAACACTCAAGAGTGTACTTGTACGATAATTCAGCAATGGCCTACGAAACTATAAGTGATGCAACAAGTACCGTCTTCGCAGCCGGCGTTAGTCCACGGTCTTGCAGAACAAGGATGGCTTTGTACGTGTGATCTTGCTGCATTTGATCGACGTACGCGCGGATTGTTTTCATATTCACTTTCTCCTCTTCCGGGAAGAACACATATAACATGTCGGCCGGATCTTCTTCGTGATTTACGACCATTAATAAATCCTTGCGGCTAGGGGGATCACCGACGCTTTCCTTGAATTCTTCAAGAGTCTGGTCTAATTCTTTTTGCATAACCAGATAACCCCTATCTCTGCACATTTTAAGGATCGTCTTCTTTATCCTCCAAAGTTTGTAAGTTTCCGAATCTTCAGTCATACCGCAGGGACACGCTTCGGAGCATAAAGCCTGACACCAAAAGTCGATAGTGGCAACCCAAACACCGACTTCAGTCCGTCTAGGTATACCGTGTAATACAGATGCGGACTGACGAGCGTGATCCAAGCTCGCAGACTCTTGGATAGAATGTATCTGTTCTGCATGAATACACGACGACAGTAAGTCAAACTTACAAACGGGACTCTAAGCAACCATCTAGATAAGGGGAGTTTAAGTGAAGAGTAATTTAAAAAACGCTCTCATTCAGCAGCACTTTCCTCGTGACTCGTATATTTAAATGTCCGATACAACAGATTCATATGTTGTAATCATACTTGTCCATGCCCATTGCTTTTACATAGGAAATTTGCCACTTTGGAATGAAATTGTGTGCGATTTTGAGCAGAAGTCTAACTCCGATTACTGAAGTGTGTCCTATCAGCAGCAAAACACACCCCAGCCAATTTTGTCCAAGGTGATGACTGACGGCATCGACTCAGTCTTCCGTCCAAACAGGTTTAAGGTCCATAAAATGACTGAGCCTTTTTCTTATGTATTTATTTTTAAACAATTATAGGCGGATCTACTTAAGATGACTTCACGTTACGGCTATTTAAGCACATTAGAAAATGCAAACACGTGAAGTGTAGTCTGGGATATATTATGAGATATCTGAGGATCAATGATGCCTTAAGCAATGTAAAGTATTAAAAAACCTTGGCCGCTGAGTTCTCTATTTATATCAGAAAAGGGAAAAAATCAGCTTTTACAGAGGTGATTTTCGAAAAAACGTGTCATCGGTATACGTGAGTTAGGCGCAAGTTGTTGTCAGTGTGTAAAGTGGTTTTCAAGAAAAGGAACACAAGGTGTATATTTAGATATCTCGGCAGTTTCCGATAGCGCCAAGTCAGCGGTCACTCCACGACCTTCAACCATGACAGTACCCCTGTAGGTGCTAAATAAAATAATTTATTTATTCGAAGAGAGGGCGTTCCGTTGGATGTTCGTATAGACCACTTTCAAAAACAGTTTCATGGGTGACCACGCATTCTGTTCGTCCCAGTCCTTTCGAAGAAGACTGAACATTGTCGGATGCGCTCATTGGCGTAATACTACGGTAGGCCCGGATACGTTCAGCATGCATTTGATTGTAGTCTAGAGTAAATATACTAGATTCAGTCAGATGTGCTTTGCGTGACAGCGGTCAAAGTCTTTTCACCAGCAGAATGTTCCTAATATGGACTTATTTTAGCAGTTGCCAATCCTCCCTGAACCACTGACCCCTAACCTGAACACCGTACTTCACCTAAAACTTTGCAACCCCCTCCTCCAGGAGTCCTTGTTCAATTTGTACTTAAGCTTCTATAAAGATGAAAGGCAACCTTGTTGCCTGTAATTGTTGTTTTATGAAGCATGAGGACTATTTAAGCAGAAAAGTCGTTAGAACACGGAGATCCTCTGTTTGTCAGAATCCGAATGGGTTGTCCACGCAGAAAATATCGGAAACAAACATCCTTCTAGTCGAAATTTCTTGTACAGCTTCCTAACACCACACATTTGCAAATCTCAAACTTAATGGGCCATCAAACAGACCAGCTGCTAGTTCAGTTCAGGTTCCCTAGACGCGTGTGCTTATCTTCTTCATATCTAATTGCTGTTCATAGTTAAACCTCGCCAGCAAACACAACTTGACCGCAACTTAGTTTATCGTCACAGTCGGCACAGGCGGGGTACCGGCCGAAGAATCGAGCACCGGAGGGAACCATTTAAAAGGGAAGTAAGGGTTGACTTCGAGGCGACAACACATAAAGTTTTCGGTCTCCCTGTAGAAGAACAGCAACCCATTTTGGTAGTTTTTATCCTATTGTTAACCAGAGACCTACGTTGAACGCTACCGAAGACCTTTCTAGAATGAGCGTTGACGGCGTCAGCCACATACGGGCACGCTGCCCAGTCGAGATCAACAGATCGGTGAGAAGATGAAGATGCGATCACCGGAACAAGAAATTTATTTGCCTGACGTTTCGGATCCTTACTCGAATCCATCATCAGAGACATTAGCAGATAAAGGTGATTGTGGCACCAGGAGTGCAGTATTTATAGCACGTGGCTGCCGTGGGACCGCATGCGCACTGCAATTAACAGTTCTCCTAATCACCGCTGGGGCCGTAATTGATGCAGTGGTGGCTTGTCGGTCCGAGTCCGAGTCGGTAATTGCCGCGATTTCGTCATCCGTGCTGGATGCTGGTGTGACGATTGCTCGGCAAACTGGCTCACTGTCACCGTGATGATTGCTCGCCCGCGCCCTCCCCACGTGACTGCTTCTCCTGCCCAGGGAAGATCTCAGTACGCTATAGGGTACCGGGAGGTCATTGTGCTTGTTAATGGATTGCGGGCCTGAGAACCATGACTCGAGCAGCTCGCGGCTCACGCGGTTGTCACCCCTTGCGAGGATTTCGGCCTCTTAAAATTTGAAAATATGGCCAGGTCCCGGCGAGTGTGCCGCCACTCGGTGCTGTCTGAAGCCCTATGCGAGCCCTGACAGCATTCCGTTTCCTTTCACCACTTTTTTGGTCGATTCTATTTGTATGTTTTCCACTGCCCTAGAACAGATGGAACTTAGACTGACTGGCCGGTAACTACTGATGCGGGCTTCAGTTCCCCCACAATTTAGACAGATATTTGTCGTTATCAAATATTCCTCTCCAGGTTTGTTGAATTCCCTTCTGACAGTCGCTGCGGCCCTCCTCCAGCAATAGGAACCGGTAAAATCATAAATTCAAGCCTTTCTGGTTCAGACGGACTCGGCACAGAACGTCTGTAAATAACTATTTGCGTTTCATTATCTCGCCTGCGTTTAGATATATTTCTCAATACCAGTGGTGTTTCCCCCAAACTTATTCAGATAAAAGTAAACGGCTAACTTGTTCGCATTCTGCGGAAACTGACGGTCTTCAAAGCCTGTTATCATGACTGCGTGAGACATGTACTGGTTGCTTAACTACCTATCCTGAGTCTGTTTTCGAGCGAAATCTTCCACAAAACATGGAAGATATCTATGATATTCCCTTTCTTCAGGCCAGGAAGTCGGTCAACCGATACTAAGTACCGGGGCGTGCATAAAACCCCGTCTGTTGCAAAACCGTTAAAAAAACAATTTTCAAGAACACTTTACATTTCTGTCTGGCTAATGAGTTCCTGTATTCTACACGGTGCGGTCCCTACTCGAAAGCTCAGACGAAATCGATCGCCTAGTCTTTCGTAACCTCAACACTTTATTCTGAATAAACAAATAAATAAATAATTTTATTTAAGACCCTTGAGGGTCCAATCATAGCACGTAAAAATAAATTTTCAGGTAAATTTTAAAACAAGTAGACAGATTCTGTACGTTATTTAGTTCACGGTCGCAGAATAAACAGTCAAATATAAAAGCGGTCGGAGAGCAGTAAAAAAACTCCTCCTGTCTTATAAACAACTAAACTGTAGTTTACTCTGGACATTGCGGATTGTCCGTGACCGAGGTTGCTCACTAAGGACGGAGAACTTTTTGAGTTTGCCTGTACAAACGAATTACGCGGTCATACTTACAAAGTCAGGAGTGGACGCACGCGGCTAGACCGTAGGAGGGTTTCAATCAGCCAGCGGGTTGTTCGACCAAGGAACCCGCTACCAAGTGAGATCCTAACGGTCGTCACAATTTGCACGTTTAAAAGCAAACTTGCTTGTTTGATTTTCGATAGAAACCGGGTTATGCTATTATCGACAGAGACAAGGAAGACCGGAATGACCATTTCTGGCTTATTTGCCGTCATCAGAAAATCATACCCAACCCCGAAATGTGGAACACCCGAGGCTTGAACTCGCGACCTGTTAGTTAGAGGTCCACGCCTCCAACCACTGGGCCACAAGCCCGTTGTCCGGATTTTTCAACATGACTTCGCACAGACAGCTGTGAGCGGATGCGCTTCCTTATCATTACGATTTTACTGTGATCCGATCACAATGTAAATGTCTGCAACTTTATTTTTGGTGCGAATCTGCAAAAGCATTATACATGAATAGGGTCATCAAGGGCTCTGCCTCTAACCCTTCAAATACATACATACATACATACATACATACATACATACATACATACATACATACATACAAAGAGAAAATATGCGGGTCGAACAGGACCGGCCTGCATATGGTATTGTATAAGGGATTCACGACGTAAGTCGTCAAGGCAGAACTTCCTAAACCGGGTGGGCTTATCCGCCTCGAGGTGGCAGGACAGAGTGGCCTAGAGGCCATCGGTCATAGTCCGCTTAGAGTCAAACCGAGGATGGGACATTAAACGCTAGGGCGGTCATCAAAGAATGCGACTCTGAGATCTACTTTCTGTTTTACCAAACTACTGGCAAATATCAAAGGCAGAGAATTCACACTGTGATCGTCAACAGACCATTTGGGGTCGAAATAAGGAGTTAACACCAAGATCCGCGAAAATCGACGTTTGGGGGCGAGGGTTCGAAATCTCTGGGGTCAGAGTGGAATTCTGATGAGTGTCGGCAACTAGCGAAACTGGGGCA